ACACACACACACACACACACACACACACACACACACACACACACACACACAAAGGAATATCTTGTTGGTGGCCATCAGAAGGAAAAGGACCAGATAGAATATTATTCATAGAATCATCAGGTTGCAAAGACAAACATCCTCTCTGGGTAGAGATCGTCAAGGACTGAGAAAACAAAGTGTGGTGCCAGCTGTCGTGTGTAAAATGCATGTTTCATTTCAGAGCAGAGATCAGTTTTGTATAAAATATTTCTGGAAGACGTGCACACACGGAGGGCTCTGGGCACAGAGCAGTGAACCTGTTACGGTGTATGATTTTGCCTGCTTGCATTTTCCACAAGCTAGTTCCGTTTCGCTTTCTTTTTTTTAACACTAAGCACAGAATCGTAACCCACTGTTCATACACAAAGAAAGAAACCAGTGACTGGAGCTGTCTGGAAGAAGGAAAAACTTTGCACCAGTGACATCAAAGGCAGGAAATGGTGTTTCCCTGCTAAGGGCAGCGGAAGGAGGGGGGAGGGGAGGAGGAGAAACCAGGGATGGGGAAGACCTGGGCAGACCTGGGCAGGCCCAGGGGACGCCCTCAGAGGGCAGAAGCCAGCTCACTCTGCTGGGAAGCCTACCTGCCCCCAAGAGGGAACCCCGGCAGGGAAGCCACCTGGAAGGGACTCTCCACCCTCTACACACAGTCAGACACTGTGACACAAATGACGTTGTGTAGTCAGCATGTATATGACCACACAAGCCAAGGCAGACACACCATCGCAGACACACACTCACACACACATGAAAACAGAAACACAGATGCACCACACAAACACACATAAGCACACACACACGACATACCACACATACCAAATCAGACAGACACACCATGCAGACACACACAATCACACACACACAGGCACACACTTCACATACCAAATCAGACACAGACACACCACACAGATACACACAATCACACACACACAGACATATACCACACATACCAAATCAGACACACAGGCACACCATGTGACATACACACAATCACACACACAGACACATACCTGAACACACAATCATAGACACACCAAGGGTAGACACCAAAGTCAGCCACAGACATACATAAAGAACACACCCAAAGGACACAAGAGACATATACTTGGTGTATATAATCAAGCACACTGAGAATCGAACACACCATCACTGACACACGGTCACACACATACCAAAACAGACGTGGAGGCACACAGTGCTGGCATACACACAGCAGAGACAGATACCCAGAGACACAATCATGGGCAAACAGGGCAGGCACCACAGCTAGCCATAGATGTACACAAGAACACACACTACAGGCATACACAATCACACACACTGATAGAGACACCTGAACACAAGCGCACAGGCATGGTCACACAGAGGCAGTCACACACAGCCACACGTAGTCATATATGGCCCACGGTGGGGGCAGTATGTACACAATCACACACAGAAAGATACATGAACACAAACACACACACTCACAACGGAGAAAGCGTTCCTGTCACATCCTCAGGCTCAGGAAACATGGGGGATGATCACAGTCACACGGGTCATGAAAAATAACTAATGTATAAACAGCATCAAGGAGACCCAGAGACTCTGGGATATGCAGTCTAAGACACTCAATATCAGACACCCAGAAAACACCAGAGGTGCACAACTCATGCACAAAGAGAGGCCAACTTTAAGAGACACACAGAACAAGAACACAAAAGACAGCAAAACCACAGGAATCCAGACCAGTGGTCTTTGGGAGACCCAGGTCCACCCAAAGACCACTGAAGACCCCTACAGAGGAGACCTAGGTCCACCCAAAGCCCTTCCAAGAAGGCCCAGGTCCAACACTAAGACCACCCAAGATGCCCCTCCAAAGAAGACCTGTGTCCAAAGCTAAGGCTACCCAAAATCTCGAAAAAAAAGAAGACCTAGGTTCATCCAATATCTCCTACCCAGAGAAGACCCATGTCCAACCCTAAGATCTCCTAAAATTTCCCCCAGATGAGACCCAGATCCAACCCTAAGGTCACCCAATATCCACCTGAAAGGAGACCCAGGTCCAATCCTAAAACCACCAAGATTCTCTCAGAGAAGACCCAGCTCCAATCCTAAGACCACCCCCTCAGTATCCCCACCAGAGATGATAAAATCCAACTCTAGGGTCTTCCAAAATCCCTCAACCAAGGAGACCCAGGTCAAACCCTAGGACTACCCAAGACCAACCCCAAAAGTACACCCAGATCAAACCCTAATCTCACCCCAGATGCCCTCTAGAGGAGACACAGTTTCAACCCTAAGACCACCCAAGATCCCCCCTAGATGAGACCCAGGTCCAATCCTAAGGCTTCCCAAAATCCCCCAGAGGAAACCCAGGTCCAATCCTAAGACCACCCAAGATACTCAGAGAATACAAAGATCACCTAATACCATTCAAGATCCACCAAGAGAAGACCCAGATCCAACCCTAAGACCATCCAATACCTCCCTCCCCCCCAGAGATGACCCAGATCCAATTCTTAAGACCTCCCCAAATCTCCCACCCAAGAGGAGACCCACGTCCAACCCTAAGACCACCCAAGATCCCACCCAGAGGAGACCCATCCGCAAACCTAATACCGCCCCAGCTACCGGGCTCCAACCCTAAGATCGCCTCAAATCCCTCACCCCAGAGGAGACCCAGGTGCAACTCTAAAACCACCCAACTTGCCCCAAAATAAACAAGTCCATCCTAAGGTCACCCAAGATCCCTCCAGAGAAGACCCAGTTCCAACCCAAAGACCACCCAACATCTCCCCCCAAAGAAAAGACTCGGATCCAACCCTAAGATCTCCCAAAATCCCCCACTACAGAGGGGACCCAGATCCAAACATAAGACCATACCAGATACTCCCCAGAGGAAACCCAAATCCACTCTAAGACCACCCAAGATTCATCCCTTCCCCAGAGGAGACCCAGGTCCAACCCTAAGACCAGAGTATCCAAGATCGCCCCCTAGAAACCCAGCTCCAACCCTAGGACCATCCAATACCCCCCAAGAGGTGACCCAGGTCCACCCTGAGACCACGCAGGATCCACGCCCTCAGAAGACCCAGGTCCAACCCTAGGACCACCCAAGACCCACCTCCTCCCAGAAAAGACCCAGGGACCACCCCTCAGAACACACAAACTCCACCCCACCCACAGGGAACCACCCAAGATCTGTCCCCCACAGGGGTCTCACCCCTCAGACCACCTCAGATCCACGCCCAAGAAAGACCCAGGCTTCTCCCTCTGGGGGTCTCCCGCCCCTGAGGAATCGGAGTCCACCTCTGGACCCTTTTTCAGGGTAGGGACGCCCAGTGTGGGAGGCGGGTGCCCCCTCGTGGACCAAGAGACCCAGTCCAGGGCTGCACGGAGTAGGAGCCCGGGAGCCCGGGAACCCAGACGCGGGGGGGCTTCCCGTCTTCCAGGGGAGCGGAAAAGGTGCCAAAGGTCTCGGAGCCAGAGCCCGGAGAGGAAAGAGTGGAGCGGGGAGATGGGCGGCCGAGCCGGCCCCGTCAGGGCCCTAGACGCGGGACCAGAACCGCGGAAGCAGCCATGGGTTGCAAGCCGTGAGACGCCCTCCCCGCCCCACGC